TTTTTTTGTACGCATTGAATCTTACTTCTACTTACACGATATTATTCCTACATGTTTTCCCAAAAGTGGATGATAAACATTATGTACGTATAAACTGTAGAATTTTTGTTTTAAGCAAATATTGTCGTCAGGTGACAGCTGTGTATGTGCCCCAATAAGTAATATTTTTAATTTTTTGGTGCTTTTGATATAAAATCGCGTTTTCCACCCTAGATTTTTGTGCGGACTTTAATTCTAGACCAAAAACTTGCAATTCTGTAAAGCCAATTAAAAGATCCATCGATTAACGATAATGTCGGTAAATCATACGGCTGCAGGATCCCCTTAAGGGGATCCTGGAGTGACAGCGACACTGACATTATCGGTCTAAGCAATATCTTTGAATTGGCTGAACAGAATGGAAAATCCTTTTACACGATTAAAGTACGCACAAAGATGTAGAGGGCTGTACATCATTTTTTCTAATAAACTAAAAAAAATTTTTATTTTTATAAATATTATCCTAACCTGACGACAATATTTGCTTTATACAAAAATTCTGCAGTTTTTTTTATAGAAAATAGTGATACAGCCCTCTACAAAAAACTGTCAGGAATAATATCGTGCAATTAGAAGTAAGATTTGAAGCCTAAAAAAAAAGATATTACTTAGACCAGTGGAAGATGCAAGGTTAGGTGCTCTGTATGTATGTGTAAGAATCGGTGAGCACTTCTTTATCGACGCTGATCGAGTTTGCCTGCGCTCTGTATGTATGTGTAAGAATCGGTGAGCACTTCTTTATCGACTGAATACCGGTCTAAATCTACAATACATATACATAAACACCATGCAGCGCACACGTACGTATATATGTATATATATATATATACATATATATATCGTATATATATATATACTTTTGCCAACATAAAAACTTATCAACAAAATTTTAAGTATCAATATCATATGTAAAGTAAGAAACCATGTGTGTGTATTTCATAAAAATAAGAAATAACTTTACCTATAAAAGCTGGTTTCATCTGGAGAATTATTAAATACTTGCAAAAATTGGGACCTGCGCAGGTGATACATAAATTGTGGATACATAGAAAAGTTTTGTGCCAATCTAAAGCTATTTGGATCATCTTTTGCATATTCTCCAAACTTTTGACACTGTAAAAATAAGATTTTATATCTTAAAAAAAAAATAAAAAATATATAAATGTAAAATATGTCATTCTAGAATTATATTTTGTATAATTTTGCACAATTTTATTTAAAAAAAACTACTAACAAGTCTAATCAGCATACGATCAACCCATCTTAAAACATCTGGACTGTCATCACTTTCTGCTTTGAATACAGCCAAACGCGACATGAGAACAGCTGCTGCTTCCTGGTCAAATCCAGCGCTTATATGATGCAGTGATGATGATGCATCTGCCCAACTGTAATTAAAGATTTTGAGAAATATTAAAAATCTATAAATTATCATGTAATATATACTTAAAAATAGAAAAAGATATTTACTTTCTTGCAACAGTAGTAAGTCTAATTCTTCTTTGTCCACTACTATGTTGATATTGAGTAATAAATTGAATACAGCCTCTTCCACCTTGCGGAATTGGAGCTGTATGTTGATTTACAACTTCAAAGAATAATGCTGTTGTTGTAGATGGTGTCAACGAACAAAATTTCCATTGACAAGTACCACCCAAACCTACTTCTTGTTCCCCAACACTAGAGCCTTTCACTCCTAATGATACGCAAGGTCCAATTGCTCCAGAAACTTTAATCTCCCGCGATGTTTTTACTTCTAAAGTGGCATTGAATGCCATTTTCAGGTTACCTTTAGCATCCTTAACAAATACCCGTTGAAAAGTTTGTTTAAATAAAGAAGAATTAAATGAATCTCCCATGACCATGTGACCGCCAGTAGAATTACAACATTGACGCATTTCTAATAAACCAGTTTGATCAAGAGCACAAGAATAAATATCTATTATATGACCATTAGTTGCAGCACGTGATGCAAGTGCATCGTAATGCTTAGTTGCCTTCTTCATGTGCTTAGCATTATCCTTTTGAATATCATGATGTGATCTAATTGGTTGTCGCAAATCATCAGTTACTACTTGGCCAGGTCCTTGAGAACATGGTCCACCAACGAATAACATAATCCTTAAATATATTAGCTTTGATAGAATCAATTATAATCTTAATGGCAATGTAGCCAATATTTATTGCAATATATAAATACCTAGCTCCAGTATTTGCATAACTAGCTTCTAAAAGACCTGTGGCAACTGCCAATGCCACACCTGTAGATCGTAATGGACGTTTTCCTGGTCCAACAGGCCAAGGATCACGTTGTAACTCTCCTAAAAGATCTGTTAAACTCATATCACATTTGTGTACAGGTTGTAAGAAACGATTAGCAGGTGGTAATGGCTGTATACTAGGTCCTCTCGGCTGATTTGGATTTTGTCCTGGAATTGGTCTACCAATACCTATCAAAATACAAAATAAACTAAATCATATATACCAATAATTGAGAATAAAAAATAACTTAAAATTTAGTTATTACCCAACATATCTTGAACTTGTTTTGGTTGAAGATCTTTTGTGCCACGAAATACATAACTTTTACTACAACCATCGCATCCCAATTCATGAACTTGTACCATTTTACCAAATGTGATGAGACCGATGAGGACGTTAGGTGGAAGTAGAGATAATGACATTTGTAATGAATCTTTAAGTGCTCCTAATTCTTCATCATCCAAGCAAGTATCCACAACAAGTAGAAATATAGGTGGTAAACATTGAGCACGCTAAACATAATATTATATATACATATTTAATAAAAATTTAATATACCTACATATAATTTCATTTTTACACGCACGTACGTACGCACGCACGCACGAACACACACACGCACATACACACGCACACGCACACATACACGCACGCACACACACATACGCGTGCGCACACACGCGCCCGCGCGCGCGCGCGCGAACACACACACCAACACACACACACACACACACACACACACACACACACACACACACACA